TGGGCAAGAACACCCAGAGGGCCAGATACATGTGCTAGCTGTGGTGGCCCGCATGTGGCCTCTTGGGCCGTAGTTTGAGACGTCTGGCTTAAGAGCTTGAAATACAATCCCAGCACTCTGGGAGGCCGAGGTGGGCGGATTGCTCCGAGATCAGGAGTTCAAAACCAGCCTGAGCAAGAGCGAGACCCCATCTCTACTATAAATAGAAAGACGTGAATTGCCAACTAAAATATATAGAAAAAATCAGCCGGGGCATGGTGGCGCATGCCTGTAGTCCCAGCTACTCGCTATTATAATTTATCTAAAGTAGGGAGCAGATAGATTTGTAGAGGCAAAGAAAAGGAAGCATCATTATATTTTTTCTATATATTTTCAGTTGGCCAATTAGTTTATTTCTATTTTTGGTAGAGACGGGGTCTAACTCTTGCTCAGGCTGGTCTCGAACTCCTGACCTTTGAGCGATCCTCCCGCCTTGGCCTCCCAGAGTGCTAGGATTACAGGCGTGAGCCACTGCGCCCGGCCTGGAAGCATCATTATTTAGAGTGTTTGAAATTCTATTACATTTACCCCTATGTAAATTCCCTGAACAAATGCATGATGATTGAGTGGCCATTTGCTTCACTGTCACCTCTTGTTTTTTTAACCAAACAAAGAAGCATAGATGTGGAAGAGAATTTTTCAAGACAGGTTGTATTTCAAGCTCTTTTTTTTTTGAGACAGAGTCTCCCTTTGTTGCCCAGACTAGAGTGAGTGCCATGGCGTCAGCCTAGCTCACAGCAACCTCAGACTCCTGGGCTCAAGCGATCCTCCTGCCTCAGCCTCCCGAGTAGCTGGGACTACAGGCATGCGCCACCATGCCCGGCTGATTTTTTCTATATATTTTTAGTTGGCCAATTCACGTCTTTCTATTTATAGTAGAGATGGGGTCTCGCTCTTGCTCAGGCTGGTTTTGAACTCCTGATCTCGAGCAATCCGCCCACCTCGGCCTCCCAGAGTGCTGGGATTGTATTTCAAGCTCTTAAGCCAGACGTCCTCAAACTACGGCCCAAGAGCCACATGCGGGCCACCTAGCTAGCACATGTATCTGGCCCTCTGGGTGTTCTTGCCACCGCTGCCTGTCCTGCTTAGCAGCTGCTGCCTGTCCTGCTTAGCAGCCGACTCGTCCTGGGCCCACAGTGCGCACTCTCCAACGGTCTGAGGGACAGTGACCTGGCCCCCTGTTTAAAAAGTTTGAGGACCCCTGTTAAGCCATTATCTGCAAAGAGATTTGGTCCTGTGGGCTGCCAGGGACCTGGCTCCCTGACCCTCCCACCCTCCCTCCCTGACCCTCACTTACCTGCCGCGTTGTGCTGGTGGTACCAGATCAGCTCGGGGATTGATTGAAAGAGGTGCCTTTCAGCCACATACCACTGTCCCGAGTCATTCCTTTTGATCTGATAATGCTTTATGGTGGCCTCCGTACCTCTGCGATCAATGAGATGGGAATTAGCAGACAAGCGAAAGGTCACTTTGGAACGAAGCCAACTCATTAGGACTCAACCGGACTCCAGTTCTAAAACTGTCATCCTAGCAGCGTTACCCTGAAGGACAGATGGCCCAAATTCATGAGGGGTCTCATCCTCCCAGGAAAACTCCTCCACTAAATGATTGAGGCCTCGGAATCAAACGCAACTTTGGCCAACGTTGTCTGAGTGACAAGACCAGTGTCTGAAGAAGTCGAGCTCATCACGGACACTTGTAACCATAATATTGACTCTCAAGTATTGGTCACACGAATGAGCCAATGCACTGTGAGAAGATGTGAAATAAGGAAGGGACGAAAACAATATAGGGTGCGATCCTGAACAGGTTACTACCGTGGGCAACTGCCACTCCATCCGTCTAGGGACCTGGGAGGGGCTGAGGGACCCAGCTTCTAATTGTCACACTAAAGTGCAAAGAAGCTGAGCTGTTTCTCCACCAATTCCCCTTCTCATTGATGGAAAAATTCCCCTGGGATGTCCCTTCCAGCCCGGCCATGGGGCCCACAAGTTCCCCAGCCAGAGAGCCTCTTCAGATAGAAAAACACACAGGAAGTTCTCCGAGTGCAAGAGAATTCTCTGCAGGTCAACTCCAAAAAAAACCAAGGGAGAGGAGGAATGCCCCACCAGTGTCTTCTACAACGGATCCAACCCCCTTGGCTTGATGCTTGAGAAGAGAAAGTCAAGAGAGGTCAAAGTTGACTCTTGTCCAATATCACACAGAGCATGTTAGGGCTACATCGTGGACTGGCTAGTTTTCCTGACTTCCAGGCCAGCCATCTTTTTTCCATGCTAGCCTCTCGCTTGTATCTTCTGTGTCATGATAGCTCCCTAAAAAAGATTGTCCCAGGACTTAGGTCTAAAGTCACCGGCCACGCGCGGTGGCTCACGCCTGTCGTCCTAGCACTCTGGGAGGCCGAGGTGGGAGGATCGCTCAAGGTCAGGAGTTCGAAACCAGCCTGAGCAAGAGTGAGACCCCCGTCTCTACTATAAATAGAAATAAAATTAATTGGCCAACTAACAATATATAGAAAAAATGAGCCGGGCATGGTGGCGCATGCCTGTAGTCCCAGCTACTCGGGGAGGCTGAGGCAGGAGGATCACTTGAGCCCAGGAGTTGGAGGTTGCTGTGAGCTAGGCTGACGCCACGGCACTCCCTCTAGCCTGGGCAACAGAGTGAGACCCTGTATCAAAAAGAAATAATTAATAAATAAATAAATAAAGTCCCTGAAACCACAATTGCTTACCTTCTAGCTCTTATAAACACGGAAATTGTGTAGGATCCCAAATGTCTTGAATCTCTGACAATAAACGCACCTTCTTTAGACTGCAAAACAATTCGTTTATTGTACAAATTTATTCCTTCTTGGAAAGAGAGACAAACCTACATCTCAGTAATGAAAACCAAAGGTACACTGACTTCTTATAAGTCAGTGACTTACTATATTTTTAAGATAAAGAATGAGATTGGGCCTGGCGAGGTGGCTCACGCCTATAATCCTAGCACTCTAGGAGGCCGAGGCTGCGGGCGAATTGCTCGAGGTCAAGAGTTCGAGACCAGCCTGAGCAAGAGTAAGACCCCCATCTCTACTATAAACAGAAAGAAATTAATTGGCCAACTAATATATAGAGAAAAAATTAGCCAGGCATGGTGGTGCATGCCTGTAGTCCCGCCTTACTCGGGGGGCTGAGGAGAGAGGTCGCTTGAGCCCCAGCGAGACCTTTTGAGGTTGCTGTGAGCTAGGCTGACGCCACGCACTCACTCTAGCCTGGGCAACAAAGCAAGACTCATTCCTGTTTTTTTTTGAGACAGAATCTCACTTTGTTGCCTGGACTAGAGTGAGTGCCGTGGCGCAGCCTAACTCACAGCAACCTCCAACTCCTGGGCTCAAGCCGATCTCCTTACCTCAGCCTCCCGAGTAGCTGGGACTACAGCATGCGCCACCATGCCCGGCTAATTTTTTCCTATATATATAGTTGGCCAATTAATTTCTTTCTATGTATAGTAGAGACAGGGGTCTCGCTCTTGCTCAGGCTGGGTTTCGAACTCCTGACTCGGGCAATCCTCCCGCCTCGGCCTCCCAGAGTGCTAGGATGACAGGCATGAGCCACCGGGCCTGGCCCACTTAGTTCTTTTTGTTGTATGGATCAGGTCAATAGATAAAAATAGCTGATGAAGAGGAAGAACTCTGAGACAGACCGACAAGATTGTATTCTGACAGAAGAGTGACAACATGGCAGACAGAAACACATCTGGAAATGAAGGGACTAGGAAAAGAGATTGGAGTTAATGATAAGGATAGAGTGACAAAAAATTTGGGAGAGTCTGAAGGGAAGAGCAAAGGGAACCATTTTATCTGCGATAGGGCTCTGGGAGAAAGAGGAAGAGAAAGAGCAAAAGAAGAACATGATAAGCTTCAAGTGAGATTACGAATTGGATCCCTGTTGACATGCTTTGGGAGATTCCAATAAAACTGCGAATTGCTTTCAAATAACCTTGAATGTTGCACCGTTTGGATTTGTTTGTTGGGCATTGTAAAAAACTTGCTGCTTTGCCAAGTGTACTTATGATTATGAAGAGCAGGAAAAAAAAAATCTCAGAATCTTGTTAAATTCATGAAAATTTACACTTATAAAGAGCTGACAATATTTACACTGTGCTAGAAAACAACACAACGCAAACAGCATTGGTCTGACCCTCAAGGTAAACGTAATACATTAGGCAGAGTCTTCTCTTTCTCCTTCCAGATAGTTACCAAGATATAAGCCTCATTCCCTGCTCAATATTTTTTTTCAACTCTTACAGCCACTTGAAATGATAACATTTAGCTTTTATTGAATTCCTACCGTGTGCAAAAGTATAAGATGTAAAAGACTTTTCTAGATTTCCTCAACATCCAAGAGCAGTGCACAATGACACACACACACACACACCCCTCTTACCGGGTTTCTAGTTTTGATTCTACTTTTACCCGAAGTCAATATTTACTGACAGTTGGAAATTTGAACTCTATGCAGTTTTGTTTTGGTTTGACCTAAATGAGCAGTTTTGATCTGAGTTTGCTATTTCGGCTACCCTACTCTTGCCTTTGTTTCCAAAGAACAAAGGAACAACCGCAGCACCATGTAGTTTTTCTACATTCGTGTTTTTCGTGTTTTGTTTTGTCTTCAAAAGGAAGATTTATTTGACAAGTTTCACTTAGCGCAATATACCTAAAAGGAAATCACAGTACAATGAAAGACTTAAATCGAGGCCTCAGAATTTCGAACCGACACCAAGACCAAAATCCTAAAGTATTGGTATTGAGTCTCAAATTTCCCCATTAACTTAAAAAAAAAAAAAAAAAAAAAGCTTCAACTTACAGGTTATTAAATGAAACTAGAATTAACAAACATGCCAAAATGTTTCACTTTAATTGTAGACACAGCTCCTATATTGAGTTTTACAGAAAAGCATGTCCTTCAACATGCATCCAAACAATGTTCAATATCATATGGTATAATAGCAACATTTAACATAATTCAACTGCTTTTAACCTAAATGCACTTAACTGCTTAAGTACATCCTACAACATATAACTAACTTGAGAAAAAGCTAGAACTTGTTTAACAGTTATACTTTACTCAACTTTGCTGTTACATCTTAGATGAGTGTTCAAAAATACCCAACCTTAAATCTTTAAAACAATCTTGGTTTCCACTTATAGAGCAAGCATAAATCACAAGCTTGTATTGCAAAAAACTGTTAAACTGGTTTTGTTTTTCTTTTAGTGGTTAGGATCAGTTACATTCTCCTATATTCGTGTTTTTAATAAGTCTAATGTGAGTTCATGAGAATCCAGTGTATATTTGCCTGCCTTTGATTCAAAGATTATATGGGCAACTCGAGGCAGAAGTATGTTGGAGTTAAAATCATTTCAGGAGAAACATATTCCTGAAAGTATGATGAAAGCCCAGGAAAAACATGGTCTGATACAAATACATATGGTTTACAAATTATCAGAAAATGTGTAGCAGGAAGGAAGTTGTAATAATATTTTAGAACTAGAAAGAACAAAGGAATAATGCATCTTTTCAGTTAGTTAGTGTCTTTAGAAATGATCTCTCAGAGAAATTTTGAAACTATTCACAGATTTGTTTATAAATAACACTGAACTTGTTATAAATTTGTTTTGTTTATAAATCACACTGAATTACCTCTTGTCTCAATAGACGTTCTGCCTGATTTCTGGTAATATTTCTATGGTACCACCTGGAAAAGCAATAAAAATAATTTGTAATCAATTTCTACTCAGAATCAATTTTTTCAGGAAAAAAAAAAAACAACCTGCTTCATTTCCTTCATTTTTAAGAACTTGTTTCAGAACTGATTTTAGATAGCTGAGGGTTTTTTTAAAAATTCAGATAAACAATGATATACTACTTATGGGTCAATTAGTTAAGTTTAATATAATTTTATTAATTTCAAGTCACTTTCTAGTTTATTCTATCATATCTCAATTCACCTTTCTAATATACACCCAGTATATAATTTTGAATGATTTAACTTATTCTTTTTTTTTTTTTTTTTTTTGAGACAGAGTCTCACTCTGTCACCCGGGCTAGAGTGCCGTGGCATCAGCCCAGCTCACAGCGACCTCAGACTCCTGGGCTCAAGCGATCCTCCTGCCTCAGCCTCCCGAGTAGCTGGGACTACAGGCATGCGCCACCATGCCCGGCTAAATTTTTCTATATATTTTTAGTTGGCCAATTAATTTCTTTCTGTCTTTAGTAGAGATTGGGAGGGGGGGAGTGTCTTACTCTTGCTCAGGCTGGTTTTGAACTCCTGACCTTGAGCGATCCTCCCGCCTCAGCCTCCCAGAGTGCTAGGATTACAGGGGTGAGCCACCGTGGCTGGCCTTAGCTTCTTATAAATTTTTATGAAAGATACGTGGTTAAGAAGTCATCTTCAACAAATAGTGCATGAGCTTTGGCAGACAGAGTAAAAATAAAAAGTTCCTCTTAGGAACTTTGGATTGGCATCAAGCCGCATCCTCCTGCCTCAGGCCTCCAAGAAACTGGGGACTCCAGGCATGCGCCACCATGCCCGGCTCATTTTCTCATATATATATTAGTTGGCCAATTAATTTTCTATTTATAGTAGAGACAGGGTCTCGATCTTACTCAGGCTGGTTTCGAACTCCTGACCTCAAGCAATCCGCCCGCCTTGGCCTCCCAGAGTGCTAGGATTACAGGCGTGAGCCACCGCGCCCGGCCTACATTTTTCTATTTTCAGTAGAAGCAGGGGTCTCACTCTTGCTCAGGCTGGTCTCGAACTCCTGAGCTCAAGCGATCCTCCCGCCTCAGCCTCCCAGAGTGCTGGGATTACAGGCA